AGCGGTTCATACTCTCCAACCCAACCACGACCAAATTTACAGCCAGCTGGCAGTGCCTGCTGAATCCTGTGGGAAGCAATTTTCCAAGCAATAGGTCCTAGAGAAGCACTAAAACGAGCCAAACTCCTAGCATAGGAATATTCTGCATGGATTCCAACCTGCACCCGAAAATTACAAGTTGTGATGTTTTTAACAATGAGTAAAAGGAAGCCAGCTATTCAAGAAAAAGTATTCATTCCTTTAGATACATACAGCAACCAGCTGCTTCATTTCACTATCAAAGGTCATAAATATTGAATCTGATCTAGCAAATGGTTGATTGGATATATTATAAGATGCTCGACGACTTTCATCAAGCCCAAAGGACTTCCTTCCCCACTTAGAGACAAGACCTTTCCCTGAAACAATAAAGTAACACAATGGAATACCTAGATTTTGACACAAGTAACCTCCTTTAAAAGTATGCATAGAAGTGAATAATGAGTGCAAATTTTACAGGGAAGAAAGATTATAGCACGATCTCATTACTGAGATACCTGACAAAACATCTTCAGATTTCTCTTGATTTGCATCAATCCAGAAAGCATTTGCCTCCAAAATACCTCCAATATTGCCAGGCCTCTCACATCTACCAACTTGCATTGGATAGGAAGTTGGCTGTAAGTCTGCAACAGTAGCAAGAGTTGCCCCTGAGGAGAAATCAGAGCCAACAGGCTCCTGTGAGGCACGTGCCAGTGGCTTCTTTGGTTGCTTCTTAACCAAGTAACTAGATCCTGCTTTCGGTTCTGATTTCAGCTCCATCTGAGAGCGTTCAAAGCCAAGCCTTAACTTCTCAAACTTCTTCCTTCCAAGTTCTTGTATTGATCGTGCCTGTGACAAATATAGGGGTCACACAATGAGCACAATAAAACAATTATTGATGTCACATTCGATGGGAGGGGAACTCAGGAAAGCATTGAACTTTATACCTGTTTGTGGTATATTGTCTCTGGTGCATTGTATTGCATTGCATTTGAACAAATCAAAAATACATCACTCTGCATTCAACAATTCCAATCACAATTCCGTGTAATAAAATTATAGTAAAATCTTGTCTTCCAATTTTTACCCAATTAGGAAGACATGATTAATGCACAGTTAAAACGATAGATAGAATACAATATTCTGGAATTTAATGTAATAGAGGAATCTATCAGTAGAGAAGCATGTTCATTCTCACATATCTTCAATATCATTCATCATAATTGCAATTGTTTAAAAAGCTTCTACGTATTATCAGTACAAAGGAAACCCACACTAGTCAGAGAGAAACAAATTATAAAAAAAATTCCACCTTTCTGAATATAAATTATAGAACTTCATGAAGCAAGAATTGCTTTTTCTCGGGGAAATCTTCAACTACATTTTTTAGTAAATCTAGATACTGCCCCTGTTTTCCTAGAAAATCAAGATTTCCTACGGATCTAGTCTATCATATCCTTCCATTAGCACCTGCCCATGAAGAACGGAGAGCCAGAAACAGAAACTATATGCAAAACAGCAGTTGCGTTTTTAGACTTGTGACAATTGATATCTGAATGGGAGGCAATAGACAGAGAAATCAATAATTTAGACAAAAATAGTGTCATTCACAATATTAAACATTTTTTTTTTTTGCAAGAAAAGGTCTAGGGAACTCATGCTCATAAGATAGCTTAAAAGTCCAACATGAAGTGTTTTGTATCAATCAACGAGGATAAAATGTTTAAAAGTTTCACATTCCTAAGTGCTAAACTGTAATATTAACACCGAGTTAGAATGTTAGACGCTTGGACTATCAAAATTCAATGCCAATCAAGCAGGTAACAATCAAACACAATGAAAATATTTTCTTCCACCTTCTAGGTTAATGTAGATCCTTTATAGTTACTTACACATCCTATAGCCTGAATCCAATTACTCAGCATATTGACAGACATGTATCTTATGAAAAAAAAAAAAACATAATCATATAAACACTAAATATCTTATACTCTTATAAATATTACCCATGAAAACACCTCGAAAGCACACAAACAACTACTGTGTAGCATGTCATTTTCAACATGTATTAGCAAAATCCTGACAGACTTCACATTTAATATGCTGAATAAATCAAGAAATTAGCCATTCCAAATGTTTTCTTTACATGCTAAGTACTAAATACATGTGGTTGACTCTTGTTAACCCACACATTTCGCTGATAGTCTATACAACATTGACAACAGTCATCCTTGCAGAATCGATTAAAGAAAATGAAACAAGTTATGTTATGCCTAAATTTGAGACAAAAAATCTCAAACAAAAAATAGAACTCCTCCAATCATAACCAGCTGAGACAAGTTTGCACACCTCAAATTGTTCTAAGGTAGTATAAGATCCATTTGCCAACTTCTTCCTCACGGTGGAAAAGTCCATGGGATGATCGATAACATCGTGATAATCAGGAAGCTGCATGTCAAAACAGAATTTGAGCTTCCAACTCAGGGGTGTCTCCCAAAAGCAAGATTACCAACTCACAGGAAGAAAATTTGACACACCTCTTCAGGATCAACAGGCTCTGCAAACACACCATAAGTGTCCTTCCTGCCATCATCCAGACCCACAATTGTCCCAGGTCAGAAAACATATAGTACCCAAAACATGCACCCCATGCAATCATTCATCACCATAAACAGTTAACCACCAAACCCCCAAAAACACTGAAAATTGGGAAACGATAACACATACTTCTGAAGCTTGTCCAGTATCAATTCCAGAGTCCTCTTATCAGGCAACGGAATCCCAGATTGAAGAATCACCGGAGTTCCTAACAGAGTAACAGTAAAAAAAAACCAAACACATAAAAAAGCAGATTGATAAAAACACACAAAGGACGACGCAGAAACAAAACCATTAGTACCCTTTCAGCAGTCATCACCTTTTTCTTTTCAAAATATCCATATATAAAAAAACTAAACTTTACACCCACAACCACAACAAGTACCCCAATTAAAATCAAACGAACCTGAAACAGAAACAGAGTGGAGCCCTTTCGATTCCACTTTTCTGCCCTTTGCCTGTCATCATTAGAAACAAACACGCATACACAATTAATAGCGTCCAAAGGCCAAATACTTCACTCATCACTTATCACTTATATATATAATAGAGAGTGCGATAGAGACACAATCAATACAGACAGAGACAGCTATATAGAGAGAGGAGGAGAGAGATCAGATTCTGTGTGTGGTAGTTTATGACAGTTGACTTGTTAGTTAGTTAATCTCTCTCTAGATCCCGACGTAGATAAATCTAGAGAGAGAAAATAGAGAGAGAATGTTTATGGACCAATCGATTATTACACCAACGAAGAATCTCGTTGACACTAACACACAGGGTTTTAAAAAACGGTCCTCAACCACGATTTCAGGGTGTGGTCAAAGATTTTGAAGTCACCACAACCCTAACTCGGTAGCATCGCCCAAATTTCTCCGCAATTTCTCACAATATTAAAGATCGCTACGAAATCGCAATTGCAATTTCAAACCTCACACACACACACTGTGCTTTTGCGGAATGCATTACCACGTCCTCTTCGTCTTCTCCGTGCACTTCTTCGGCGTCTTCGTTCTCTTCCTCTTGTTCGTTTTCGTCGTCGTCTTCTTCCTGCGGTGCGTGCTTCTCACGCGACTCGGCGCGAGTGCGGTTCCGCGCCGCCTCGTTATCTTCTTCTCGCTCTTCCTCTTCTTCTTCTTCGCCCTGGTTCAGCTTCGCCATGAGCTTGAGCTTCTTCTTCTCGCGCCTCCTCTCGTCCTCCTCGTCGTCGATGTAATCGTCGTCGTAATCGATTATGTTGTACCTCACGTTCCGGCGCCGGATGCTTCGCCGGAGATCGGGCGTCGATGAGGCGGCGGCGGAGGCGTCTGCCGGAGCCTCGCCGGAGCGGCGCGCCAGATCGGCCTTCGACGGCCGCCCCTTCTTCCTCCTGGCGATCTGAACCATCGCGCGACCTCGCTTTCTCTCTCTAGAAATCCACCTCGGTTTCTCTCTCTAGAATCGGTTCTGTTATTTTTTATTTTTTACTTGTTATTTGGGCCTGGTGTTTCTCTCTCTAGAAGTGCGCTCTGTTTTTCTCTCTCTCACGCCTTTGTTTCGCTCTCTTTGGTTGGGTTTTCGAGGACTCTTTCCGGAGGCTCGGGTCCGAGGCTGGGCGCCGAACTTCCGAAGCTGAGGCTCGGGTGGTTGGGGTTGTACCTAATAATTAATGATGATGGCTCTTTCTTTCGTTTTAAGGGTCTGAACTCTGAAAACGGCGCCTAGTGCTGCTGCCCGCTGCCCGGACGGTCCTGCGTGTCGCTTTACCTGCTGCCCGGATGTTACGTCATTTTCCTTCTTTTTTATCTTTCTACTTTTCACCTGAACTTCGTCTCTCTTATGTCGCGTGAACCCCACGCGCCTTTTTTTTTATTTTTATTTTTTCATTTTTATTTTGACTGATTATATTTTTTTATATTTTTTAAAAATATATTTAACAATAGTATCATAATATTTAACTATTGTTTGGTTTGAATTGAAAGATGAAGAAAAGGATGGGAGAAGAAGGAAAACACGGTTATTGAAAGTTTTTGCCTTGTTGGGTATAAAAGAAAGCTAGAGAGGAAAGAAAAATTGAATATGGAGTCCACAATAAAATATAAAAATAAAAAAAAATTCCTTTCATTTTGAAAAGAAAATAAACATAAAAAGATGAATGTGATAAAATTATAAACTTACCTTCCTAAAGTTGGATGTTTCCAATAGATATGCTTTTCTTTCTTTTGGTTTGTTATTTTTCATTACTAAAAAAAATTACAATTTTATCTAATAAAAAAATTTATTATTTTATAAAGGTTATTATTTTATTTTAAGGAATGAAATACAGAATTTTAAAATTTTAAAATATTTTTAAAATTGATGTTAAAATTTATTTTAAATTTTATTGATTTTATTTATTAATACTTATCTTAATCTTTTGTTTTATATATTTTTTACTTAAAGATATTTGTGTCCTTTTTATATATATTTCTTTTTTTCTCTCACTTTTTTTCCTTTTTTTTACCAAATCAAACAACTAAATAATTGTCTCCTTTTCTATTTAATAAAAAATTTGAAAACTCTTCTAAATTTATATTCAAACATATTTTACTTATAATTTTAAAACATAACCAATTAAAAATATTTGTAAAAGAAATATTTTTAGAAAGTATATTATTAATATTTTTCTTTTTATATAAAGTAAGTTTGTCAAAATATCTAAAAAAAACTTATAAGTATTTTAATTATTTTATAAATTAATTTGATCAACATAAACTTATATAAAATAAGAGATTATTTTATGAATATAAAATTTATTTTAATAAATTAATTGAAGTAGTTTATAATTTATAACCTTTTAACATTTTTTTTTCCTTTTCATTTTCATAGTGTAAAAGTAGTATTGATGTTTAAATATAGGATTTTATTCAAATTATTTAAAATTTTAAAAACATGTTAACAAGTATATTATTATTTTAATATCAGAAAGTGTATAATATCATTATATTAATCCTTCAAATTAAAAAAAAATTAAATAAGTCTCTTAAAGTATTATATTAGTTCAAAATTATATATATATATATATATATATATATATATGT